GGACCATGGGACCTTTGTCCACAGGCTCAGGGACCACGGGGCTTTGATCCTTGACAGGTGCCAGGACCATGGGACCTTGCTCCTTCGAAGGCTCTGGTACCATGAAACCTTGATCCTTAACTGTTGCTGGAACCATAGGACTTTGATTCTTTGGAGGCACGGGGACCAAGGAACCTTGGTCCTTTACTGGTGCTGAGATCACAGAACCTTCGTTCTTTAAAGGCTCAGGGGCCACGTGATCTTGATCCTTAACTGGTATGGGGACCATGGGACCTGGATCCTTCAGAGGCCCTGAGACCTCAGGAGCTAGACCCTTCAGAGGCTCTGGAGCCATGGGGCCTTGATCCTTTGGACGCTCTTGGATCACAGGACCTTGATCTTTCAGAGGCCCTGGGCCCACGGGACTTTGATCCTTGTCTGGTTCTGTGGCTATAGGACCTCGATTCTTACGTGAATCACTGGCGAGTTCAACCTGGCTCCTGCAGAAGAGAGAGAGGTAGTCAGTGTGAGGGCCCGAGCTCAGGCCAAGGAGTGGGCAGAGCACAGATTGCCTGAGAAGTCTTGGCCTAGTGGAGCCTGGGCAGGGCAGCTCTGGCTGGAGAGCCGAGCGGAGAATCTGATTTCCATGTTCTTAGTGCAGAATGGGGGGTGGGGGGAGGGGCAGGCTCAGGAATCATTCAATGTGCTTGCCAATTGATTATAACCTGCGCGTGGCAGAGAGGGTGGCACCCAGGTGACAAGGCGGTACCGGAGCAGGACCCAGAGTCCTCCTGTGGGTACCACAGAAGCCTGGCCACCCCACACTCCACCTAGGCTGCTCCTCCTGCCTCTGTGGTAGCTGGGACCGTCCTGCAAGCCCGTCCTAGCTGTCTGCTCAGATGGTCCCCCACGCCAGCGCGCTGGCCTCCTTCCTGGGGCCTTCCGAGGCTCCTTCCCCTCCCCAGATCCCTTGTTAAGGGCCGACTGTGGAGAGGGACAAGAAAGAGGGCAGGGGAATGTCCCTCCGACCGCTGTCCCTGCAAGGGGAGAAGTGTTTTATCATGAACATTATTTAGAATCGCCTACACAAGGTGACAGTAAGAAGCAGACCGGCTTTCCATTGGTTTTATCACTGCATTTAAATTCTCTGTCTACAATGCGCCACATTGTTGCCCATGCCACCGCCATCGTCCCCACCTTGGGCAGGTGACTGGCTGGGGCTCCCCATTCTGGCAGTGAAGAGACCCTGCTCCCCTCGCTCTGTCCCCGCTTCTGGCTCCCCCTACCGTCCCTGGGCCTTTGCCCTCCCTCCAAGGCCCTGGGGCTGATTTCCCTGCGGCCGAGTCCAAGCCTCTCACCAGGATTCCCTGCGGACCCCGCGTCACCCCTTGGCCCGTCCACCTGGTGGAGAGCAGGTAACATCGCTGACAACCAAGGGCGAACCCTGCCGCGCTCAGAGCCCGCCAGTCTAGCTTAGAATGCACACTTGTTCCTTGCGGGCCAGGCTGAAATTTGCCACCCCAGAGCAGCCACTCAGCCAGTGTCAGAGACCCTCGCACACTTCCAGCACATTCCACTTTCCAAATCACTTCTCAGAGCTCATCTCAGCAACCCAGGAACCCCATGAAGCTGCATGGATGTTATTACCCTTACTTGTCAGATGACGAAACTGAGGTCCCGAGAGAGCAAGTGATGTGGAAAGTGAGGGACCTGCATGGACTCTAGAGTCTGGGTCTTTCCGCTCCCGGGGACTGTGCTCTGTCCCCTGTAACGCCTGGCACACAGTCGCTGCTCAGTACAGGGTAGCTGTTATTACTCTTTTATACTTCGTGGCCAATCAAGTCTTTATGCTTAAGACCGCTTCGGCATTTTAACAGTTCCTATTAGCTAGGCGCCTGGATGGCTCAGTCGTTAAGCGTCTGCCTTCGGCTCAGGTCATGATCCCGGGGTCCTGGGATCGAGACCCGCATCGGACTCCCTGCTCCACGGGAAGCCTGCTTCTCCCTCTCCCACTCCCCCTGCTTGTGTTC